CCGAACCAGATTGTTTCACAGATCATAAAATTATCTTTTTAATAAATTTTAATTAATTTTAAAACTTTATTAAAAGGATATGTTTTAATAAGTGACCAATCGCACCTAACCAAAAAAAAAAAGATTGGTGGCAATTCCGTTATTTTTTTTTTCGTTTTCAAATTCGTCTGACGGACACAAAGCCGTTACAACAATGTGTTTTTTATTACGTTATTTTGAGTTAAGTAACCGAATTAATACTTTTGGAACCCAAATGAAATATAGACGGTGACACTCTAATTCAACATTGTCAGCAAACCAATGGGAAGGGAAAAAGAGTGATCGTGAGGTTTTGGAAATTTGAAGAGATAAAAAAGAAAGAGAAATGTGATTGATTTTTTTGATTACATTATTTTTAAAATTCCTTTTAATTTTTGGTTTCTATGCTTTTCTCCATTTTGATGTAATTTAGTTTGTGTATCTTTTGCTTCTCTTATATAATAGGAAATATTTACATAGAAATCGACCTAAAACTATATTAGTTGATCAAGAATCAAGTGGTTTTATTCCAAAAGTTGCTGAAGTTGGGGTGCCTGTTACAAGCCTAGTTGAATGTCCGGTTATTAGTAAGTATTATATTAAGTTAATTATAAGTCTTAGCTATTTAACAATTTGTTAGCATTGTTTAATTCTTTTTCTGTAAATTCTGATTTTTGCTTAAAAATCCTTTTGTGATTCCTCTATTTTTCTATTGTAATTTGTCTGTGTCATTTTGGCTGCAACAATGGCAAAATGCAGTGAGGTTGAAAGAGAAGTTAAAAGGCAAAGTCATACTATATAAAGATGTAATTTCTTAATAAATTCTTCTATCATCTATCAATTAGCAATCATTAAGATGCAAGGGAATAACTCAACAAACATTTTGCTAATAGTCGTATCAATTTGTTCTAATCTACAAATATAATAACTCAACAAAAGCAGAATCACAATTATTTTTTTCTACAAATAAAAAAAAGGGGTTGTTAAAAAATTTTGAGCAATATCATGATTGATTTGTCAATAATAACAAATGAGTAGTTGAAGTCTCAACGATTGTTCTGAACTTCCTTAATAAATTACCAATTCTGATATTGCACCAAAATGCTACTATTTAGCTTTACTTTGAGGAGCTTGGTCTACAACGGATGAAGCCCAATTGAGTTAATTAACAAACAAAGGCTAAAGAAAATATACATTTATTTTTGTAAGTTGAGTGATGAATAATTTACTAACTTTTACAATATTTTGCCTATATAGTGTTTTATAGAGGTAATCATGTTAATTAATATTAACAAGAAGATTATACCATTAATAAAATTGTCAAGGTCTTGGAAAGTGAACGTAAGGTTTAGTTGCAATATCAAATTACTTTCTCAATTATATTTTTATCATTTTTTAATTGAATAGATATACATACTAATATTTTATATGATGCAAAAAGATTGGAATGAGAATTTGTTTAATTAACTTGATGAAATTGACGTTTCAATAATTTTCTTTTCTAATCTCTGGCTTCTTTAATAACTGAGTCTTTCTATTACTCTTTAGCTTTACTTTGAAGAGCTTGGCCTGCAATCGATGAAGTCCAATTAAGTTAATTAACAAAGAAAGGCTTTCAAATTAAAATAAATTTTACGTTTATTTTTGTAAATGGGATGGTGAATAATTAACTAATTTTTATAATATTTTGCCCATGCAATGTTTTATAGAGGTGATGTTCATTAATATTAGCAGTTTTGAGATAATAAGACTAAAGTGAGTATGTATGATAGCAATCTCAAGTACAATAAATTTTTTTCCACAATGATAGATGTAAGATTTGATTGCATTATAGGATCATTGTTTGTTTTTGTTTAAGGCTAGATTTTTTATATGCAAATTTTTCTTGCCTACATGTGGTTTTATTTTTCTTAATAAAATATGTAAAACATATATTATCAATAATAGACTCAATGAATGTGCAAATATATATATTTTACCATGCTGTTGAGATTTATCTCTATTTATTTGATAAGTTCAACCACGTGATCTGTTATTTTTGTTATTAGTACGTATTATTTCAGTTTATTACTTTCTATTTAGTTTGTAGTTCTTAATATTTACAGAGTTAACTATCTTTCTTTTTTTTATTTCTTGATTTGGTTTTTTATACTTTTGATTTAAATAATGTTCTTTCTTATTTATTACTTCCCTCTTCTATTTCCAACTTCCCAACTAAAATTTCTGTTATTTATTGGTTTTAAATATGTTGAAAATGTTGCGTTTCATGACTCCTTTTTCTACCTTTCTTTAAGGTTTGTTTCTTCCCTTGCAAGTTTGTCTTTAATTTTGTATGAAATGATATTTTGCAAACAGTGTTTAGATCACCATGAAAAGGTTCGTTTGAGCTTTATGATTTTGATAGTTTCAATTGAACTCTAGAAATATACATTTCTTAATTTAGTTAATTTTGCATTGTTATCTTTTTACTATTGAGAGAATAGTTGGTTATTACCAAAAGAATGTGTTCTATGATATCAAATTTTTTCACAAAATAATTTTCAAATTCACTAACTTTGAGTTAATATTTTCCTACTTGCAATCATTAAAAAAAACTCTTGCGATGTAACACGAGTTAAGATCTGATATGTTTAAGAATTATGTTTTTTTTATACACGATTGATAAAGTCTTTACACTCAAAAGAGATATTAGAATATTATCATATGTTGCATTATCTTTTATATGAATTTGTTATTTTATAAAAATATATCTTAATAGAATATATAACAATATATCATTAAGTTGAATTTTTAAACTCCACCAATAAATTTTTCCCCCCTTATGTTTCTATATTGATTTTCTTTTTAAAATTCTAACAATAAGTGAGTTTGGGCTCTATGTCTAAAGTTGGGCAATGTTGTAAGTGCCATCCGATAGCTGAGATTAGAATGATGTAATAAGATGGGCTGGTAGATCACATTTTTTTCAAATAAAGATAGAAAAAAAAATTACATGTGATGAGATTTGAACTCTAAATTTATTAGATATTATATTTTAAAAGTGATTACATAAATAAATTGAATTAAATTTAAAATTCCTATAAATCATAATTTTGATCCTTAATGACTTAAATTTATTGGGACATGAAACTTTAGATACCAACAATAGAATTTTATCAAATTAATGTCCTTGAAGAGATAATATAGTTTAAAATTTTTGCAAATAATTTTTTAATATTTGTCACTTATATATTCTCAACCATTAACGTGAATGGCTAACTTATATCCATCTTGTTAGGAATAATGCTTTGATTTTAGAATTTGATTATATTAATTACTGTAGATACCCATTTTGATTCGGGCCTTATTAGGCCAATCTGGGTCTTGGCCCATTATGGTCTGAGCTCATTTAGGCCCATCTCGACCTATTCTGGTTCGGGCCTAATTGGGCTCATTCTAACTTGGACCTAACCAGACCCATTCTTGTCGGGCCCATCATGGTTTGGGTTCATTTTGCCCTTCCTAGGTTTAATTAAGTATTATTATTATTATTATTATTATTATTATTATTATTATTATTGTTGTTGTTGTTGTTGTTGTTGTTGTTGTTGTTGTTGTTGTTGTTTTCTTTTTCTTTTATTTTTGTTTCTATTTTTTAGCTACTTTCCTTCTCGATTTCATGTGCACGTGGGTGAAATAATCAAGATCAAAATCTTTGGTCAAAGCCTTGATTGCAAATTGTTTCAGCAGCAAGACTGCGAAAATTTTAGACATAAAATCTCATTAGGACAGAATGCAATCCCAGGAATCAAGCCTAGGATTGATCTGTCCATTTCTAGAATTACTCCCAAGAACACCTATAAATTGGACTAATTTTAACACAGAAAAACACACAGAAACAAAGAGAAATAAAGGAAAAAGACAAAGGGGAATTTTTGAGAAAATTTTGGTAAAATGGGGTTCTGGGATACGAAAATTGGGACTACGGTTTTGATTTGGAGTTCTGGAATGATTTTAGGCTTCTGGAAGTGATTTCAAAATAGTAAAGGGTTCTGGGGAGGTTTAGGACGATCTATGAATTTTTTAAGAAATTTTAGGGATTTTTTTGGAATTTTTGTAGGTTTTTTGGGTTTCTGAAAAGTGTTTGAATTTTTTGTTGAATTCTTCGGTGAAGGTTGAAATTTTCGACCAGATTTCGACGAAGTTTCCAGAATCTAGTAGGTTTCTAGAAACTGACGGGTTTTCCAAATTTCGATGGGATTTTTTGATGAAGTTTCTAGAAATCGACAAGATTTTTAGTTTTCAGTTGAACTCTTTGATGGCTTTTAAAGAGAAGGTAGAGGATTTTGGAAGGGTAGGGAGAGAACTTCTAGGGTTTCTAAGAAAAATGCTAAAAGGGCCCTTTTATACCACTCCAGAACGACGCTGTTTTGCTAAGCTAGGATCCACGCGTTGACCCAAGGATCCGCACGTTGACCCGCGTTTCAATCTGACTTGATCGCAAGTTTTTCTTTTTTCATTTTCTTTTTTATTTTATGATTTTCATTTTCATTTTATTTATTTTACCTATATTTTGTATTCTAATTGTTTCTTTTTTTCTTTATATTTAAAAAAAAGAAAAAATGGAAAAAAAATAATTATAAAAAAAAAAGAGAAAAGGGGAAATATAAAATTTTAATATTTGACATACAGTAATAATTCAAGGCTTGGATAATTTGAAATCGAAATTGATACCATTCTTGGATGGGCACTATAAAGGTGTTATAACCTTCCATAAGCGTAATCAACTCCCGATGTAGACACCTCATTTTGTCCGAAGTTCTTTGTCAATTGAGACCAATCCAAGCTTGATTGTAGGAATTTTTATTCATTTTTATTTCATATTTTTATTTCATATTTATCATTGTTTTTTATTTTTATTTTATGGTCTATCTATTTTATTTTTTTTCTTTCTCTCTATTATCTGATTAATTAATAAAAAAAAGAGAAAAAAAAGCTGAAAGATCGAGATTAGACTTGGTGATTGTGATGATCGTTATCTAGATGCTAATATTTAGCTTTGGATGCTAAAAAGAGTTGAACTGAAACTCTATCAACATGGTTTTATAAATCATAGTGATTCATTAGCAATAAGGGAACGAGGGGGCAATAACAAAAAAGGGAAAACGATCGAGTGATTCCTAAGAACATCAGTAAGGTCCTAGGAAAACTATTGCCAGCAGAATACTCCTTGTATAGTTATCCAACCCTAGTCTACCATCAACCCACAATCGAACCCCAAAGCTACACACAGTTACATCCACATTGCCATCTACATTGCCATCTAAACCCTCACCGAACCATGTTGCCATTGCCAACCAGTCAGAAAACATCCCACTACATCATCAACTCTTGTGAGATAACCCTAAACAACACCACGTACCAAAAAACCTCTTTTGTTTGATTCCATTCAATCCGAATTCTATCAGCGAGAGTCATACAGCCACTAAACACCTAGCAAAAAAAAAAAATCCAGAACACCTAGCAATTACTCAAAAGACTCCATGAAACAAAAAACAAATAGCAGAGCAAAATCATCTAACCATCCACAAATCCATCACGCTGGAACCAATGTGGTATGCCGCACACCCAACCACAGCCCCAAGTTCAATTCCAACAAATAGTCAGAATTGACCATTGTTATGATTGCAACCCCGTAGCCCAAAAAAGAATCTCACTCCATCGTCTTGCAAAACAAAAAGAAAATAAGGGATTGGAAAAGAATATACAGAGAAAAAAACAGAGTAACCTAGTGGTATCGAGAACAAAAATATGGGATTATATAGAAAAGTAGCAGCACACATACAGAGCCCTCACTGAGCTCTACCAATGCAAACAGTCTCCACCCATCAAAGTCCCTTAGCACTAACACATACAGAAGCTACCAGCTACAAGTACCGGGACTTGCCACCACCATCAGTTTCTTGTTGGATAATCACCCCTCGTCAGTTAGTCACATCAACATCAATTCAAAAATGTGGTAAAATCAAAAACCAAAGATCAAAAATGAAAAGCGGAGGATTAAATAAAATAAAAAAATAGAGAGGAAAAAATGGAGAAACCCGAAACTTACCCTGGCGACAACGGTGACAAGCGACAATCGACCCAACATCTGGGAAATTCATATGGTGAGGATGAAGGGTTTGACGAGAGAAATAATATACTAAAAGTTGGAAATGATCCAATAGTGGAAAAGGTTGGAACGAAGAAAAGAAAACCCGAAGCATCAACTTCAGATTCACGCCTGTAGAGAGTGATTTTTGAAAAAAAGAGCCTATATTCAAGACGAGAAACACAAGAAGTAGCGACGGGGAAAATTTTAGCTTGATCAGTCATCGGACGATGGCGGAGTATGACGGCGTCGGTGACGGATCACGATGGCGTCGGTGTCAGAATCTAGACCTTTGAAGTTTTCATCCTTGGTTCTTCTATCCTTAAAGAGAGAGAGTGAGAAAAGTTGAGGGTAGAGAGAGAATGTAAGGGAGAGATATGAGGCAAAAGGTTTAAATTCTGGCTTATATAGTTGCATAAAAAAACGTTGTTTTAGGTATTAGCTAAGAGCAAGATTTGTGCGTTTTCACCTTGTTCGACTAGACCCGAGTGCTGATCTGTGTTTTAACCAGCTCCCAGAAACTGTTGTTGAGCCGAGCCTCGCTGAGTCGCGTCCTCTCCCTTTCAATTGATTTTTGTGCTCCAGCTGAGCCTCGCTAACTCTTCCGTCGAGTCGTTTCGATTTTTTTAATATTTTTATTTTTTATTTTATTTTTTTGGTTTTTTTTGTTTTGTATTTTATTTTTTTGGTTTTTTTTGTATTTTTTAGAATATTTTTTGCATGAATAATTTTTTCAAAAAAAGAATAGGAAAAAATATAAAATAAAAATTTTTAAGAAACATATTTTTAAGGAAAAGTTGAAAGTATCAATTTTATTTAAAAATAAAATTTAAAAAAATATTTTTGAAAAAAGTTGAAAATAACCGTTTTCCTTAAAAATAAATTTTTCTAAAAAAAATATTTTTTAAAAAAAATTAAAAGTATAAGTTTTCCTAAAATAAAGAATTTTCAAACAATATTTTGAGGAAAAATTGAAAGTATCAATTTTTTTAAAATTAAAAATTTCAAAAAAAGCATTTTGAAGAAAAGTTGAAAGTATCAATTTTTCTTAAAAATAAAAATTATCAAAGAAAAATATTTTTAAGAAAAAGTTGAAAGTATCAATTTTTTTCGAAATAAAAACCTCTAAATGCTTTAAGAAAAAGTTGAAAGTATCAATTTTTCTTGTATAAAAGCAATGATTTTTTTTTATAAAATCAAAAGAAAATGATTTATATCAAAAGTTGAATCATTATTCCTTTTTTTAAAATTTTATTTATTTTTTCCTTTCATTTCTTAAAAATTTTTAATGTTAAATAATCCGATGACGGAGTCTCTGTAAGGGAAACAATGGTTTGTATACTCTTAAGGTGATAAATTTTTTTAATTTTCTACCAAAAGTATTGGAGTTAATTAAGAATAATTTTCAATAATTAATTAGTTGGTAAATTTTTTAGGCTTAATGGATAACACGAAATCAAGCTAGTACCATCATTCGATGGGCGTTGTAAGGGTGCTATAACCTTCTTCACATGTAATCGTACTCCTAAATCCTGTTCTGGTTAATAGATCCGAACCTATTCTTTTAGGGACCTTTAAGCTTAGGTGTTCCTTGAAAGGATAGATTCATTAGGTGGCCAATCGCACCTAAACAAAAAAAATTGGTGGTGATTCTTTAAGTCAATGTCTAGCGATAGATCTCCAAATCTAAACGTTATGACAGTTTAACGACTTCACTGGGGACAAGCCGAGAATCAAGTGAGCAAATAAATTTATGTTATCCAAAAGCCTAATAAAATTGAATTTTTTTTTGTAAAAATTTTTATGCATTCATTTTGTTTATTTGTTTGATAATTATGTCATTAATATGCATGTGCATGACATGAGTTCTATACCCGAACTCTGTCTCTCTAGGAGGGAGTAAAGTATCTATGCTTTTGTGAGGTTTTAATGCCTCCATAGTAGCTAGCGAAATACTCCCACTTAAATTGAACTTTTTTCACTTGCAACCCAGTAATGGGTGAAGATTGGGCTACCTTATTAGTCTGTGACGGACAATGGTGTAAAGAGCAATTTGGAAACCTTTAGACTTTAGCCTTGAACCATATATAGTGAATCTTAGAAGTGCCTAACCCTAAGATAGAGCCCTTCTTACCCAATGATAGATATACCTCGAAATTAGGACACAAGAAAGAATAAGTTGTGTTGATCTAACCATTTTGATTATTTGACTTTGTGCATTTGCATTATCATGTCATTATCATATGTAACATTGTGCATCTGCATAATTTTCATATTAGATTTTATCCATGAAAATGTAAATTTTATTCGTGCATCAACATATCATACATAAAACATAACATGACATTTTTAATCATAATTGTGGTACTAAAGGTTCAAGGATAGCTCTACCAAGCAACTTTACTCACCAATACAATACAAGAGCTCGAGCCAGACAAATAGAACAAGAAAATTTTAATTGTCTTAAGAGGATAGAGAAAGCTCAAGAAGCTAGAATGAGAGTTGAATAGGATTTTATAAGCTTTGAACAAGTTAAATAAAGAAAAGAGTGTATAAGAGAATACCAGCCAATAAGACCATCCCTCATAAGAGGAGGATGACCCACTGTACCTTCTTGATTTTGGGCCACATCAAGCCCAACCCGTACAAGGTCCACCATCATAGCAGTTTATCTATCATGTAGGGTACACATACCCTGAAATGCCATCAACTTCAAATCTGAGGCAGTATCAGAGTTATGTAAATCCTGTTTTTACTGAAAAGGTATTAAAACTAATATCAATCATTAATTTGGAAGATCCAAAAGGAAAAAAAAGTTGAGGCCCAAAGAGAATGAGACTTTAGAAGCCTTAAAAGCTGAATAGAAGATGAACTTGTTAGAGGAAAGGTTACAAGCCATAAAAGTTATTGGTTTTTATGGTTCAGTAGATGCTGCTGGGCTCTGTTTAGTCTTGGATGTTGTTATTCCTTTAAAATTTAAAATGTTAGAGTTTAAGAAGTATGATGATACAAAATGTCTGAAAATCCACATTACCATATACTATCAAAAAATGACTGCCCATACTAATAATGAGAAGCTATTGATGCATGTATTCCAAGATAACCTTATGGACTTTGCTGCTAGATGGTATGTCTAGCTGGATAAAACTCGTATTCGTTCTTGGAACGTTATGACTCATGCCTTCATTAGTCAGTACCAACATATTATAGACTTAGCCTCAGATCATTTTTCTTTATAGAATATAAAAAAAAAAAGTAATTGAATCATTTAAAGAGTATGCCTAGAGATTGAGGGATATCGCTTTTCAGGTGCAACCTCTTTTAACTAAGAAAAAGATCACTGTATTGTTCATCAGCACTTTAAAATCTTCTTATTATGAAAAGATGATAAAGAATACCACGAAAAATTTCATCAGCATGGTAATCTCAAGTGAAATCATTGAGAATGCCATTAAAAATGATAAGTTGAAAGGAAAGGAAACCAAAAAGCTGCTAAAAAAAAAGAGATTGAAGTTCAAGCCATAAGCCTTAAACCACATAGTTCAAGTTTAAGCTTATCCACAAGGTTAGGCCCCATGCTATCTTGCTATGAACAATATCTCACCTTACCCTTACCAATCATATCCATAACTAGCTTACTTACTAACTTACCAATCAGCCTTTCAAGTACCTACATATGTTCTAGTCATATTATTACATCAGTTTCAAAGCATAACAACTAAGTGAATAGTTCAAAGAGATCTCGAGATAACCAAGAAAGGGCACATATTGACCCTATCCTCATGACTTATACTGAGTTATTCTCAGAACTGATCAAGAACAACTTGGTATCTGTAGTTATTCTAGAACCATTGAAGCCACCTTATCCAATATGATACGATGCTAATGCGACGTGCATTATCATAATGGGAATATAGGTCATTTTATTGAAACTTGCCCTGCTTTTAAACATAAAGTGCAAAGTTTGATCCAAAAAGGTTGAATGAGTTTCGATGAATCAGGAAGGCAATATGTCAATAAAAATCCTTCACCTGATTGCACAGGGGCATGATTTTAGAGAAGGATGTTAAGGCTGGTTGGAAGCTACTTGTCATCCTAGATTTCTTTCATGGTAATGTTAGTATTTCTTTTATGTAATAGGATTTCATTTGTTATCATTTTAATAAAAGACAAGTCGATGCATTTCATTACATTTTTTCTTTCATTTAACCATTGTTTTATGCTTTATAACCTTTCATAACTTTTCATTTCCATTCCTATTTTCAATGATGAATGTTTAGACAATGATGCTAGCAATAATTATGAGATTTAATTTTGAAAACTCATTCACCTTGATCTGAAAAGATCATTTGAGTAAAAGAAGCTAGCTACTAGCAGATGTGGAATAGATATGTCTTAGAAATGTGTAAAAATCTACGAGCTTGTTTTTGTTCAATAGATAAATTCAAGGAAAGCATTCACATTTGAGATGAAAAATGATCATCTTTTTTTTACCATTCAAAAAATTATTCATTGTTACCTCTTTGAGCCTATTATGATTTCTTTTTTTAAGGAACCTTAACCAAAAATCACCCTCTACATTGGAGAATATTTTTTTTAAAAAAAAGGGTAAAAAAAATTTTAAAAGGTCTTAAAGATAGAAAAAAAAAGAAAGAAAGAAAAGCAAAACAAAGAAAAAAGAGAAAATAAAAAGAAATGAATGGTACACATGATTTAGGACAAAATAAGGGGAACATTTTTGTGAAGAATGAGATCGATGAAAAAGGAAAAATAGTGAAATGATGTAAAGTAGGGAAAATGCCAAGGTAAATCAACTAATGAATGATCATTTGGTTCTAAACCTTTTAAACACATATTTTGAACCTATTTTATTAATTTCTTTCATGACCCCTCACCATGGCCTATATTACAACCTTAAAAAGTCCATTTAGATTAAGTGTGAATGCTCGAATTGAATGATCATATGTTGGATAAAGGCATGCTTATGATAAAATAATGGAATCATGTTATATTGAGATTGATGTGTGAGAGATGTCAATAGTGGATGAAAGAGGATGAAAAGGAAAAAAATGGATGAAAAAAATGGAAAAAGAGAACAATGAAAAAATAAGAGAAAAAAAGAAAAAAAAGACTCAAATTGAAAACCCAAAAGGGCAATTTGGATAGACAAATCTCTGAGCTGAAAATTGGATGAACAATTCAAATATATGAAAGATCAAGACATCTAAAGATCCTTCAAAGCTGGGGCAAAGTTTGATGAGCTCAAAATGATTTCGACAGTCAATGGAATGAGTTTTTGAAAAAGAATCTTAGATTAATCTTTAAAATTGTTTGAATATTCATTGTTTGGATATACCACTCATCCCAGTGACATGCATCCAACTTGTTTCTTTCTCCATTTGTTTTTGTACCAAACTCGTATTCATCGA